ATTCGGGAGACAATGTCATCCTTACTCTGTCCATTCGGCAGCAACCTCGCCCAAGTATTTGAAACCTTCGACTTCTTCAAGTTGATAGCCACTAATCTCGAGAGGTGCCTTCTCTTAGGCAGGGATGCGGCATTAAAACACTTTGGTCTTCGCAGCGTTTACGGACAAACCGACCGATTTCGCGACCTCGTTCACCCGTGACACCATAGACTGAAGATCGCCAAAGCTTGAAGCTAGTAAAGCGATATCATCGACATAGTCGAGGTCAGTCAACCTATGTCCGGGTTCAAACTCAATACCGTCGCTTTCTTGTAGGGTCTTCTCGAAAACTCAGTCAATGGCGTAGTTAAAGAGGATGGACGACAGGACACAGCCTTGCCGAACGCCTGACCGAATAGCGAAGGGTCATCGCCATGATCATGGCATATTACCCCTCCACCACTGCGCGGGTCTTAGTCCACAACAACCCAGCGACACAGGCTGTTCCGTGGATAGAAGAGGTGTGTGCATTGCTAGCGAAACCGCCCAGTTTCCAAGAAAAAAGTGTATAATTTGCTCTCAAGCGAAAAAATTAAGCGACTAAATTTAGGTGTTGCATGCAAACAGTGCATAAAATCACATGGGCGACCAAGAATTCACGAAAACAATTTTTTGCAACCGCATACTTGCGCACACCGGGCTGATCAAAATAATCGAAAAATGTAACTTTTTCTTCTTAGTGAAAACAAAACAGCTTTTATCACTTCCACAGACCATGAAGTCGAATAAATTATGCTAAGTCAGTTACCTGCGTTAACTAGTGACCTCGGTAGAGACGTTAATAATTCTCCCGCGCCCCCCCCTCACCTAAGCCAAAAAGCTGGCATCAATATATTCATTACTCGGGAGCACAGACTACGGATGGCATGAGATTTAAAAAATTTTAAAACAAATGAATAAATAAATTTTTTGGGGTCAGCACGCACTCTGAGATTTTCCGCATCATTTCCGGCAACAGTGCATAGGTCGCGTAAACGTGATCGAAGGCCTTGGAAACCACAGAGTTCATCAAATCAACCTCTGTGAAGCCGAGTCGCAGCATTTGTTGCACGTAAACGCTGTCCAGATGCCGTGAGGGAGGTTCTGCGTAAGGTTTCATTGGGCAGTCCTCGTAGCCCGTATTTACCCAACGATCGTTCATCAGAACCTTTTGGGAAGTAAAAGGAGGGTCTATCAGAAACAAGCCATGTTGGCACAAACTCATTGACTGATGATACCATCAAAAAACCTGGGCACCTTACCCATAAGTGGGCCAACAGATTAAGGTGAGAAACTAGACATCTTGGGAAGGATTAACATAAATAAGGACGTTCTTTCTAAGTTTATCCGGAGGCATACAGGATGGAAACCTTAGTCAATAAGGCATAACAAACCATTGTGTTCATAATACCGCCAACAGCGACGGCCTACAGGTTAAGTCCAATACGAATTTGTTGATGGATATCAGACATGGATGTCATCTTTACGTACGGAAAGGCGTTTAGTGTCATGCACAGATGCGAACTAAACCAAAATATTTACCGCACATAATAGCATTTTACATAACCTTCCGGAGGGATATACGTGAAGAGTAGATTGTATGAGTAAAGAGTACGTAATATGCTTTACTTTTAATCATAAGCACCTTGAAATGAGTAGGAAATAAGTACAGGTCTCATCCTACCTGGCAGAAACCAAGTCAATCATGGAATAACGGTAAACCGAAAGCAGCAACGTCTTCATGGAATGATCGGATATTCGCGGCTCTGACGCCAAACCCAGTGACGATACTTCGTAAATTATTTGCGTTATCAAATGTTCGTAAGTTCGTCACTACTAAGTCGGTCTAACAAACGGTCTGCTAGCATGCTGTTCTG